GACAGCAGCCCGAGCTACGCCTTTGACAACCTCGTGGGCGCCAGCTTCGAGCAGGCCCTGTTCGCGCCGCTCGTCGTCGCCAAGCGGTGGGTCGTCAGCGTGCCCGACTACGAGGGCCCGCGGGCGGCGTACCTCGCGGGCAACAACTCGGGCCACGCGGTGCTCGACGCCGCGCACGCCGTGCGGTCGCTGCGGTGCCATTTCGGGCTCGCGCCCGACTATGCGCAGGCCGTGTACGGCTACTCCGGGGGCGCCTTTGCCGCCCAGTGGGCCGCGCAGCTGCAGCCGTCGTACGCGCCCGAGCTGCGCATCGGCGCCGTGGCCTACGGCGGGCTTGCGGTCAATGCCACGGCCGCCATACCCACGGTCAACGGCGGCCCGTCGGCCGCGCTCGTCGTTCTGGCCCTGCTTGGCACCACGGTGCAGTGGCCCGCGGCGCGCGCGATCCTCGTCAGCCACCTGCGCACCACGGGCCCGTACAACGCGACAACGTTTCTGGGCGCGGCCGACCTCGACGTCAAGACGGCCATTGGGCTCTTTCAGAACCAGGACATTGCAAAGTACTTTGTCAGCGGCTTCAGCTTCCTGACCGAGCCCGCGTTTATCCGCGCCTTTTATGACGACACCCTGGCAGGCTACGCCGACACGCCCACGATGCCGCTGTACGTGTTCCACGCCATCCGCGACGAAATCTCGCCCAGCCGCGACATGGACGGCTTGGTGGACAAGTACTGCGTGGCGGGCGCGCGCATCCAGTACCGCAGAAACAACGCCACCAGCCACACGACCCAAGGCATCGTGGAAGGCATCCGCGCGCTCAACTGGCTCGGCGATTTCTTCAAAACGGCGCAGGAGCAGCCGGTCGATAGCTGCGCCAAACGCTGCTCCACGCAAAACGTCTCGTCGCCGCCCGACGCCACCACCAACGCGCTTGCGCTGGTGTTTCTCGTCTTCAGCCAGCAAGGTTACAGCATCGCCCACTTCCTCCAGGCGCACCCGCTGCCCGGCGTGCCCGCGGTGCCGGCGACGGCCACCAACGCGCAAATATTTGCTGCGCTGAAGCTGACCACGCGGGAGGCGCTGGCCAAGATTGGCCTCGACGCCGAGGCACTGGCCGAGTTTCACGTGACGGAGCTGGAGTTGGCGGAGCTGGGTATTCACTAATGGCTGGTAGCTGCTGGGCTTTGTACATAGATGGTGGTATTCGTACTCAATTTACACACACTCCATGTAGTGCTGTTTGTTCTGACCAATCGGTCATCGCTTTCGTTGTTTATAGCTTGGTCGTGTTTCATTGTGATCCTTCTAGTTTGCCGCACAAGACAATGTCGTCGCCAAAGGGATGCCACGCGACGTCTCGCAGGCGGGCCGCGGGTACCGGCGCTCCCGACTGATCATGCACGCGCGCCGGCGACACGACAACGCCGCCCCGGCCGAGCCACGTCGGCGCAATCGTCACGATGACGGAGCTGACCAACCCATGGCACGCCGGGTCAAGCAGCGAGTCAATAATTTGGCCGCCGCCCTCGACCATGACGCTTGCCAAGCCCTCTTCGGCCGCCAGCATGGCCAGAATCTGCGGCCAGCCAAAGCGCAGCCGGCCGCCAGCCGAGCCCGCAGACTTCTCCTCTGCCGGCAGCTGCAGGTACCTGCCACCGTGCGCTTCGAGGACGCGCGCGGCGGCGGGGGGGATGCGGCTCGAGGCCGCGGTGATAACGAGCGGCGCTTGGCCGGCGCCGCGGCGCTGGGTCTCGAGCGACC